AGATAGAAATTTCATCGATCATGTATCTGGGCCACGTATCGCGCCGTATATATACGGGAGCAAACAGTCGCAGAATTAATAGAAAATACATACGCTGTCGTACAGTCGCGAACAAAATTTTCGACTAGCGCGAAACGACGTCGCGCGCGTGTGTGACGAAAGAAAAGAAAGCGTTGCGTGACGGCTGTTACGACTGTGTACCATGTGTAACGCGGAATTTGTGGAACGACGTGACGAGGGGGGTGCAGGGGGGATAGAGGGCACTCCTTTCAATCGCGAAGCCCTAAACAGAAGTCATGGTCGTGTCCCTCGATAATGCGTGAGAACCAACTTCGTAATTAAAACGAGCATGCTGTTTTATCAAGTATATTCATTTTTTTCTGTGAAATTTTAGTTGTATAATTTTTCCAACACTTTTCGAATGTGAACTTTTTTTTCGGTCGCCGACTGAAATTACTTTTTTTTTTTCCAGATCACCAGTCGTTCTTATACCGAAGGAACGGCGCTCGGCATTGTTATACCTGTGGTCTGATCTTTCGGTGCGAAGACATAAGAGCCTCCTTGCATCCTTACTGTATAAAAGTATTATTGTGTGTTCGTAAAACTCGATAAATTTCGAAATAGAGAAAAAATTTTTTTTTCTAGTATCAATCGTACAAGAATCAACGCAACGATTTGTACACGTGTTTCGCGATAAGCGCGAAGGCTGTCAATGAGCGGGATAGGTCGAGAGCAATTTTCTGGTGTTAATTAGAAATAATATTTCAGAAGGTAAACAGACCAAAAACTTGCTACGAAAAAGAAAAAGGAATTTACTCAAGCTACTGGCTTACGTACGTGTGTCGAGAGCCTTGGCCAAAATGCAAACTGCAGCGACTGCGGCTTTCCCTGATTGGACGTAGACTACGTTAAGGCCTGCAAGGGAGGTTATTTACGTAGGTCGTGAAATCATAGAAAAAGAATCAAACCTTAGGGATATCGCGATCTCTGGTGGCGATCGACGGAACCAAACAGAAGCATTGAAGCTCGTCGACTGAGACCTCGATAAAGGTACAGAATTGTACAAAAATAATTGAAGCAAGCTTCTAGAAACGCGAGCCAAAATTCGGATGGCAAATGGACTAGAAATCGCGAATCTGTGGCTGTCGCAAGAAAAAGGCAAAGAGGCGTCCTTGAATCAAAAAGCCGGCGACCGGCAGAGTTTTGAGTCCTTGCCAATTTCGACACAATAGAAATTTCTCTTATTAGCATTGCCACCAAGAGAGAAATTTCGTTCCACTTGTTTGTTCTTCGTACGCCTCTACAATACAGCAGGTCCGACTAGTTCCTCGTCGTACGAGCGACGGAAGTCAATTTGATGACCCGGTATGCAGCGGGCGACGAAAACGACGGCTGGCTCCCTCTGCGCTCCCCGCGACCGGTCCTTATCGAGAAAATTGAAATAAAAAGAAAAAAAAAAGTTCTAAAGCATCGCCCGTCATCTTTCAACCCTTCCCATAATTTTCCCACGGCAACAAGTCGCACGGACGTCATGACGAATCAACGGACCAATCTAAATGCGGTCACGCTCGCCCGTGCCGAATGCGATGAAAAGCCGCGTTTACAAAGAGCCCCGCGACGGACTCCACACGTGTACGTACTATTGACGGTGTGACGTATGTCACAAAAATATATATACACGCAAGACCATGTTTATCAATGCACACTTTTAAAGGCGACAGTGGTCACGATTGACGCGTTCGAAAGTGAACACCCGTTAGGTATGACAACGCGCTGAAGAAAAATGATGACAATTCATACTGTCATTCATAATACTTCTGTATCGCACTGTACAATCGAGCGTAGAACGGATCAAATGATTTAGCTTTATCTAATGGAGGCGTCAAGTGGTGGTACTGGTCATTATCTAACCTCAGGCATTTTCATGTATCTAATTCGCGTATCGCTGTATATAAATTTCTATATATATATATATTTACGAGCATCCACTTTTTTTTCGATCCCAATGAATTTTCATAAAACTTTCGATGAATCAACAAAAAAAAAGTCCAATTAATTAAAAAAAGCTTGTATCGCGTGTCTAATAATTATCGTCAAGCCCCCCCCCCCCC